GGCTCATAAAATTCGCATTTTTGGTGGATTTCACTTCTCATTTAAATAAGTTAAACATTGTCTCTTCAAGATGAAAAATCAACTTACTTGTGCTATGCTTCAAGTCACTACAATATTTGAAATAAGATTTAAGTTATGGCAAGCTCATATCATGGAAAATTTTATACGTTTTGGTATTTTGGCTAAACACAATCCTGAGATCAGCAAAAAATACCCAGGCTTTCTTTCTTTCTTTCTGATACAGGAATTTGAGAGTAGGTCTTAAGATTTCTGAAAAAAAAATCAATTTTTGGTATGTTTGCATCTCCATTTCCAGTGGACATAAATACATTCTCTACAAATTTTAGATGGAATATGGAGTTTCAATCTGACACTCAAATCAAAGGAATTTTGATTATGTCTCTTTACTAGATTTTCCTAAGACCTATTTTCTCAGACAAAACCATCCCTTGCTTTACAACCATGCTAATGCACGTCTTCACTTTTCTGTAATAGGTACACTTATGAACAACTGCTTTGAAGTATGAAGCACAGAAAGAGCCAAATTAGATAAAAAGGTTTCTGACAAACACCTTGAGCCCTTACTAAGAATTGCAGCCACTTCCACTGAATGAGACATTGGTGCATTAATTTCCCAGAATAAGATAAAATATTCCACTAGCTTTGTTTATGCCACCCTCTTTTTTTAATGTTATAATAAAAATATAAAAATAAAAGAAGTTCTGTTATTTTTATACATTGAGTATTTCGTATATTTTGTATGGACGCTCATGTGCCATCCCTTAAAGAATCATCCTGAACACTGTTCAAAGTAGATGGAAGGAGGGCAAGGCCTGAGACAAGGAAACCAATTAGAATTCAGTTGCAAAAATTCAGGCAAGATAATTGGCTAACAGGATTTGCTGGTAGGCCAGCTGTGGGTAAGAGAAAAAGGAAGGCTTAAGGAAGTCTCCAATATTTCTGCTCTGAGTAAAAGAAAGGAGTCCCTATTGATGGAACTGAGAAAAACTGTGGGAATGAGGAGTTTGAGAGAAAGAAGTAAGAGCTAAGTGTGGACCACAGTAGGTTGGAGACGCCTATTACACACCTACTAGAGATGCAAAATAACAGTTTAGAGTCTCAAGTTCAAGATAGAGGTCCATAAGACTTACTTTTTTAAAGTAACTCTGCCCCGAATTACAAAATTGTAGAATCGCAGTTCTTTAGATTATAAGTTTGTTGTTTCGGCCATAGGATAGATGGAGGAATTATCTCTGGGAAGCTCTGCAGTAGCACTTGCCTATGCTTTAAAAATATTACATGAACATATCAAAAAAAAAAAAATACCCAGCAAGGATAACTTCAAAAAATAATTTGTTTTCCAACAAAGTGGGAAAATATAATTTACTACTCTTCTATTTATGTTCAAAAAAATGTCTTAGTAGTACAAAGTCTACCACAGACTGTTATAAGTCCATGAAAATATATGTCTGTGCTATTAGAAAATTTCTCAGAATGACAGACAACTCTATAAACTTTCTTTAAGTGGCAATTTAGATGGAACTGAGTATCAAACTCACTGCATATTTAATTTTCCACTTTGCCTAACTCAATAAGGTTAAATGGGTAATATGTGCTCAGAGGTTTGAATATGTAATGTATCATCAACTTAACTCTTCCAAGTTAAAGCTCTGCTTCCCTTTTCACATCATAGTTATGCATCCAGAAACTTGCTACTTTAAATTGAAGTAACACAGATTATTCAAAGTTTGAATAAAAGTTTGAAGTGGCTTTTTGTCCTTTGAACAGTTGTCTTCTGGTCTGAAAGTGGTCCATTTTTACATTTTAAGAACAAGTATAAAGACAATCAGGGGCTGTTAATTGGAATTTAAAATGTCTTCTATCACAGTCCCCAAGCAATCTCTCCAAATCTGGCTATGAAAACTAAAAAATGTAAGAAATAAAATGCTACCTCCCTTCACCCCTCTGACTCTGTAACTCCAGAGGAAAGAAACATACAGAACTAGGCAAGAGGGGAAGGGGGCGTGTTTATGCCAGCTGGAGACAGAAGGGGAACCTGTGCTCAGGTGAAGACAGCGGAAGGAAGGAGCTCTACCTCTGTCGTTGGGGACATGTGACACCTACCAGGAAGCTCTTCACAGCAAAGCTAGGGAGTGGCATAAAGGAAACCACCGTAAACAGTGGTGCTCAGAGGTGAAACTCTCCATCCACTCATCAGCTCAGAACAGGAAAGAGCCAGCAGTGGTTACTACTGAATGCTCTTTTCCTAGAAAAGAGATGAAAGTATTGTATCCTTCAAAGTCTTCTGAGAACTAAGAATAAGACTGGAACCACATAAACCTGCCCTGAAGAAACAGAACTGAGAACAGAATGAAATATTTGCACACAACAACACAGATTAGACAAAAGGATCGAGTATGTACGGACAAACTTTCATTCTTACCTTGATGAGACTTACCTTGTAGAAATATAAAGAAAACATCAAATGGGGGGCATATAATAAAAAAGAGGCAGAAAAGGAGACATTTATAGAAAAAAATGAAAGAAACATTTTCATAAAATTCAAAGGAAAAGCATATTCTTGACAATAATGCAATGCAGAATCCAAAGAAAAATTAAAAAGGCAAACATTCTAGATACCAATTATTGAAGAGTTACTATGTACCAATAAATTGCTACGCATTATTATTTACTACACACCAGAGATATTTCAAATACACACATACCAGGCCCCTCAATCCTCACAATAATCCCGACTATACTATCTCCTTTCTAGAAAGGAGGACTTACTCAAAGTTATAAAGCTATTAAGAAGCCATATGTAGTAACACACACCTATAATCCCAGCACTCTTGAGGGCTGGAGAATCACAAATGTGAGCCCTGCCTAGGCAATTTAGGAATTTAGCAAGACCCTATCTCAAAATTTTTTTAAATTTTAAGAGGCTGAAGATGTAGCTCAGTGCAAAAGTCCTGTGCAAAAGTTCAATTCCCCTTATTGCAAAAAAAAAAAAATTCTAAGAATTGATATCAAGTGTTCTCACCACTGCAGGGGACCACAATGTTAATTATGCCCAAAGCAGGCTGTAAGTAATGCAGGCTGTAAAGAGTTAATCCCACAATTACCTTGATTCTAGAAGTGAATTTGGCCAAAGCCTATGTGCCAAGGTCAGAGTAACTTACAACCAAATTCCATTCCCACAATTAAAAGCTTAACTAGAAGAACAATGTTCTAATTACAACCATATATTTTATCTATTCTGTTCCTAATTTGAGAATACTTTGTCTTTTTCATCTACAAGTCTTGCCTCCATTAGTTTCCATAGAAACTGCACAATTGCACATCCTTGCACATAGTCCACCCTTACACATAACTTGCCTTTACCCCAATTAATTACTAGTAAAAATCAGTGGCTTGGATGCACTAGCACCTTTGCTAATTAAGCAGCATTGGCCATCCTGGCTTCCCACTTTCTAGCTCTCTGGAGCCCACTGAAGAGGTTTCCGGTAACATTTCAGGGGTTTCCAGTGTAACACAAAAATGGTAACTATGTGCTCTAATAATATACGTATTAATTAGCTAGATGCTAGGTGTACTATCTTGCAATATAGAAATATATACATTCAATTTAATATATAATATCTATATATAATTTATTTAAATATATATAATTTGACCTGTCAATCTACAATTTTATCTGGCAATTTTTTAAAAAAGGAAAATAGCAATATATAGCTATTTTGAGATAGGTATAGAAATGTATTCATTTATAGTCAAATAGTATCTTATGAATATTTATTAGAAATTAGATACTATTCTGTACATTTAGGATATATTAACAGGAGAAGGCAAATAATTCTGCCCTTTGGGAGCTTGTACTCTAGCAAGGCATGGTTTATAGTGTGAGAATTACTGGTGTAGGGGAGGATTTACAAAGGGGTATTAAAGTGAGAAAAACATGATATGGAGTAGAAATTAATGAATAGAGCCAAATTTGAAGTGGTTTCTAGTAAATCTGAAAACCTTTGCTGATAATAGGGAATTTTAATCCAGTCAATACATTTAGACTTACCTCTGTCATTGAACATCATTTTGTATGCTTTCTTGATGCTTATTTTCTTCTTTTTTGATAAGTGCCTAAATTTTGTATCTGTCCAGTGTTTTTTAAAGTATACTTCATTCTGATGATGGTCACCTTTAAATTGTGTACATTTTATATTTCTCTACCAGTCCCAAGTATAGAAGGTAAGCTCCATTAGGCAAGGTCTTGCATATACCTTCTCTATCACTGAGCCTAACACAACAATAGCAGTATGACAGTATACTTGTTCTATGAATACATTAGTAGAAGTTGTTAGCTACATAATCATAATTCTACTCTCGGGCCAAAGCAGACTAAGGGGGGAAACAAATCAAATGTAGAAAGTGAGCCATGCATGGTGCCACATGCCTGTAATCAAAATATTTTTGCAGGCTGAAGTAGAAGACTCACAAGTTTGAGCTCAGCTTGACCAATTCAGTGAGATCCTGTTTCAAAATAAAAAATAATTAAAAGGCCTGGGATACAGCTCTCTGCGAAGGCCTGGGTTCAGTTTCTAGTACGGGGTGGGGTGGGGGTGTAAAAAGGTGAATGCTGAAAAAGGTGAGGTGGAATTCTTCAGATGAAAGCGCCTCCGTGCCAATCTTATTACAACTCTGCGACCTGGAAAGCTCACTTCCATGTTTCACCTGAAAAATGGAGACTGTATTCGAATAGTAGTTGATTACTTTCTTCTGAGCCATGAATCCTTTGAAAAATCTATAAAAGCTATCAATCATCTCCACAAAAAGATCATATGCATATATCATTTAAAAAGTCAAATCATTTTACAAGATCATGAAAAGGCTTTAATATGCATATTGATTAAATGATATGAAAACATTAATAATTTCCTAGCTTTTAAAGGTAATATTTCACACACAAAATAATCTCTCCACATTTTATAACAGAGAAAGCCCCACACCAACTCAAACTGAAAGACAGCATTTATCCAAAGACAAAAAACATTTCTGGATATTGTGAAATGTTTCAAAAGTCCAAAAATCTTCTTTTAAATTCTTGTAATATAGTTATTTCAGGTAGGGATGGAGTTGTTTAAATCTAGCTTTTCTTGATAAACCAATCCTGATCGGTCGGTTGCACGTCTTAAGAGGCTGAATTCTTGAAATGCCATGTGAAAAATGACTACCTAAAAACATAAGACAATAAAAGTTACCTAAAGGAGTAAAATAACTAGCATTCTTAAAACTCTTTGCTTACTTCTAACCATAATATTAGCAACATTTGCTGAGCATTTATTGAACATTTTTTATTTATGTGGCAGGGACTTTAATGGATTATTTCAAATAATCCCATATCCAGTTTTAAAATGTAAAAACTTAAGTACAGAAAGGTTAAGTCACTTGACCAATATAAAATAAACAACTAGATTAAATTAGCAGTCCAGTCTGACTTAGCAACAAGAAGAAATAGGTTTTAAAGCCAACTTAATATAATACTTTAGGCATTTCATTTTTCACTTAGAAGCTAAATCACTATGTCATACTGTTAGTTAATGCTTATGTTCGGTCTCTGAGATTAGTATCAATAATAGAGCTCAAATATATTATCTGTTACACAGTAAGAGAAAGCTCTAATTTTGAAGTTTTTTTTAACTTCATATATTATTGTAAAGAGGTTCAAATTGTTTCACGGAGATATATTTGTTATTAAATCAGTTAACTATATACAGGTAAATATGTTGGTTACTGTAATAATGAAATATAACAGAATCTATGTACATATCTTTGTAAATATTTATTAAACAGAATACAAAATTAATTTACATGTAAAGCAAAAAGCAATTACACCATAATCAACACCATCAAAATAGCTATAAATCAGTTCTATTTTTGATTCAACATTAAAATTATAAATCTAATGATAAAAATAAGAGGAAAATGCCATTTTATTGCTACATTTTTTAAACAAAAAGGGGTTGTCCAAATAAAACAAATTTTTCAGATAATATCGGATACACTAGATTTGATTATAAATTAGATAATTTCAGCAACATATGCTAGGCATACTTTCTTATTGTATGATTCTTATTTCAGAAGTAAGCCAGGATTTTTAGTCTATCTTCTTTTATGTCAAACATGATAGATACTCCTGTTACACTTTTAATAAATGGGAGATCATGGGACTAATTCCATCAACAGCCAATCTTTTGCAAAGTATACAACTTTAGTCATTAAATTATGGTTGTAAGAATGCACCCTTTGTACCCTTTATTATTGTTATGCACTGGATTAACTTATTATTTTACATTATTTAATAAATTTAAACATTGAAGCATACTACCAAAAACTGCTCATTTTATAAAAGTCAATATTAAATAAAACTGTCATGAAATTACAACTCGAAGGTATGAAATAATACAATTTGATTTTTTTCTAAATGCTTGCAAATCACCATGTGATCCACAGACTTACCACATCTATATCTTTGGGATGGGCTAAAAGTGTAGAATGCCACCACTGAAAGAGCCCCTTAACAGTATCTTCAGGTGATGAATACTTATATTAAAGTTAGGAAGCAATGGCCTTAATGACACATAAAACACTTGGGGAACTAGCTGGCAGGCATATAACATCTGTTCAAAATAATTTAAAAATACCCTTTCTGTGATGGGGGGCAAGGGGGTATTGCATTGAAATAAGTGGTAGAAACTTTAATTACAAGAGTAGGCATCATAATGACAGGTGGAGAAGTATCACAACAGTTCAAGTCAACTAAAACCTTTCTGAGGCCTGTAAAACCACTGTTGGAGGCACCCTCTCCACCTAAGCAGTGCATTGTCTGTTCTCATTAACCCTGTATCCTGGTATCTCCCAACTTTTTCCTTATACTGTGGACTTCAATAAACATTAGGAAGGTCATTCAGCTTTCATGCACTTTTAAAGTGACTCTAACACTGTCATACATAATTCTGGCTGACCTCACACATTATATTTCCTACTTCAGAATTGTGAGGGTACAGTCACATTACTATGGACTTGAGTATTTCCAAGATAACATTTCTTTTCTGACTTATACTTACCCTTTATTTGTTTCATATATTCACTTCATTATTTTAATTATAATCACGATGACACGATGGGTATGTGCTCTTTAATCTACTTCTACATCAAGACATGTTTCTATATCCAATTTCTTACCTTTCTCATACTAGGAAAACGCAAGCCATATCCTTTTTGGGATAACTCCCCCCACATCCCACCCCAGCATGCACTCACACTCAGGACTGAACCCAGGGGTGCTCTACCACTGACGTACATCTCCAGCAATTTTTAATTTTTTATTTTCAGCATGGGTCTCACTAAATCGCCAAGTTGTCCAGGCTGGGCTCAAATTTGCAATCTTCCTGCCTCAGCCTTCCAGAGAGCTGGTATTACAGGGGTGCACCACCACACCTGGGCTTCCAGGGTAATTCTCTCAACCTTCCTTTTAAACTCATGAAATATTGGATCATTAAATATCTTCTTTTTTCTTTTTTCTAAGGGCATCAATTAACTTTTAAGATTATTTCATTACAAACTAAGAAAAGATGGAAAAGAATTTCTGGGTAACATTAAAGGTATTGAAGATAGCATTTTAATGATAATGATGATCATAAACCAAGAGAAACATTTTGAGAAATGATGAACCCCTGGAGATGTTTTAGCAAATATACTTCACTTACAATGGTACTTTTTAAGATCTAATTTTGTGGTATAATACACCAGAAATTTCTGGCCCAACTATAACTTTACCTAGTTCCCTAAGTTTAACCGTATGTGTACTTACATGCATTGGTTCCACAAATTAGAATGGATATTAGACATACTATGTTTTATTCTGGTATTGTAGGACTCATAAAGAATAAAGTTGTTTTTCTTCAGTTTTATATTTAATGGTAATGAAAAAATATAATTGCCACAATCAAACATCACATTAGCATGCATAAATAATAGCAATTTTTAAAAATTTCACAAAATAAAATATCCATACCACAGGCCTTTATATACAAAATATAATTGGGAATGACATCCCAATGTCAGTACATACCCAACTGAGATGAACCCTTTTATTTCTTTTGGTTTTGCCAATTGTTATATATGTTAAATATTTGCAGTGGACATACACAATACCTTCCTTGGCACACGGTTATTATCATAGATCTGTGCTAGTATTTGAATATAGTTTTACATAGTGTATTTCCCAGTAATATTCTAAATGGCATTTTAGTTTTTAACCAATCTCTAACTTTTGGAATTTGCATCAGTAAATTATTGTTTCAAAAAATGAATTTATTTTCTAATAATATAACTATATTTTCATTATGCCAAAAATATACACATGTGATAATAATCCTATAAGATATTTTATAAAATAACTAAAGATCTTACCTCCCCTTGGTAAATAATTAAGTTTTTCTTCCATGCAGTCATCAGGGAATATAGCAGGTCTTTTAGGTAAAGTATTTTTACCATCTGAAAATAAAGCTAATATGTTTTAGCAAAAGTATTACCATATAAAAATTTTAGCAACATAAACAAATTATTCTTTCAGAACTACATCTTTCATTTGTCTCCTAATATTTGATGAAGTAAAGTAAGACTCTTTAGAGATTCTCTTTAACAATTAATAATTTCTTATAAGTTCAACATTTAAATAACCTTCACAGAAAAAGCATACACCAATAAACATTTGTCTTATACTTTATCTTTTTGCCAAATTATATATTTGTCCTACACACAGAAAAGCAGTAATTATTTTATCATGAGAGAATATTTTAGAATGAATTGCATACCTTGCTCAGAAGTAAAATAGAGTATTTCTTCCTCTGATGTTCTAGGGCAGCAATACACATTGGGAACTTCCTGTTCTCCATTATTAAGTACTGTTTTCCACTTAAATAAACTTTGGGCTCTTCTATGAATATTAGGACCTGCTATTGTATCACAGGACAAAGGAGATGCACATTTTCTGTCAATAGTAACCATTTTCACATCTTTTTCTATCTCCATTTTTGCCTCCTTGGCATCATTACTTTCTTCAAAGTAATTTTGTTGCCCATTGTCTGTTTGTACAGTGGGTGGAATTTCATTTTCCTTACTAATTTCATGAAACATATGAAGCTCTTTGAGTACTAAATCAAATTTACTCTTCATCTCAGAATCTTTTACTATTGTCATAGTTTCTGTTGATAAACATTTTTCACTTAAGTTCTGAAAACATTCATTGTTCCCTTCATTTGGATCAGTCTCAAATTGATTAACATATAATGTAGTCACATTCTTTGGATGAAAAGGCTTTGAATTAGCTAACTCACTTTCTCGCATAATTTTCTTATATTCAATTTTATCTGTTGTGTTATTTTGATTAACAGATTTAGTTTCTTCCACATTTAATTTCTTACTCATTAATGAAGTTGACCGCACAGAAAGCATACCATCCCTTGCAAAAAAACTATCCTCTTCCTTTTCTACCTTCATACAAACTTGGCCACTGTATTTTGAACTCTGTCCTATGACCTTTACTTCCTTCTTGAAAACAAAATCATATTTGATTCCTTCTAATTCACTTTGCAAGTTCTCAAAATTTAGCACCTGATTTATAGTCATGCTATTGATCTGTAAACTATATATTGTGTTTTGATTTGCCAGTATAGTCTGTCGTTTAGCATTAAAAGAACCTTCAGATGTGTGCTTAGAAGTGAAGCTACTGACTTTCTTAGGATCCTGTTTTCTTTCAGGCTCTAATTCTTGGTTGTGCATATTTATTTCATTATATTTTCCACTAATATGTCCATGGTTTTTCTGTGTAAACTGAAGACCAGATTTCATATGTGTTTTAACAATACTAAAGCTGCAGTGAGCCCAGGTTTCTACATTCATGTGTTGTTCAAGACAAGTCTTATTCTTATCATGAGATTCTTTTACCAAAGAAAGTGCTTCCATGTCATCAAAGTCCATTAAAAAGGAAATTTTTTCATATGTTTCAAAAATGGGAAAACATAGATTCTTGGTTGTTGTATTAAAAGAATCAAAGTTTTCTTTTTTGGAACCTTTAAGAATTTGAGTTTTAAATATAGGCTTTCTTTTCTTTAACATAGGTTTCACAATATCTTCTAAAAGTTTTGAAAGAGTTAAATCCCTCATTAGATATACAGTATGACCTTCCACTGTAATAAGTTTCAGATAATTCAAATGCATCATCCATTTGAAAATGTATCCCTCTAATTCAGAATCATTTTCAATTCTGGCTAAAGAACAACAGTTACTGAACAGATAAGATATGCCAGTTTTAAAAATGATATTTAAATGTTCTGAAACAGTGGTTTGTAAATATTTGCTTAAAATGCCACTCTTTATATTGACATTAATACTCCTGATTATTACATTTTGAATACCAATTTGATTTTCATACTTCAAAATTTGATACCAGCTTAAAGTACTGTTATCCTTCTGGTTTCCTGAAATACATTTATAGAAATAAAAAATTTCTGTAATGAAACTTTGAAAAATGTTGCTTAAACGAAAATCTTTTTGTATAGTATAATATCTAAACTGTAGCATATTATAATTTTCTCCTTTACTATTTAACCAAACAATGTTAATTAAAAATTTTTGGTTACCTGGCATTTCTACCATTAAAGGATTTGACTGTTGTCCATCGTGCACATTCACAGCTTTTGTATTGCGATAATCTTCCTTGCCTAAAAGTTCTATTTCTTGTAGTTGTAGCAAATTTAGCTTTTCTCTAGCTCTTTTCATATGTTCACTGTTAGTCTTGTAACTTTTCATGACCCAAGAATTGTGCCTATTCAAAATATGTCTAAGATTACAGTGCCTGCTTTGAGATTTTTCCAACCCGGTAGGCACGTAACTGGTCAGGTTTGTTTCTGCTCCCATCCAATCTGTATTTCTCAGTGTTATAGTGAAGGTCTTTTTAGAGTCTCTTACATAACACTTGATTCTACTGTGGTCATAGCAATTTAAACTAGACAAGTCTTTTTTTCTCTCAAAAATGTTTTGGTTGCTGAGTAACTGGTGGTTACTTTCACAATATTCAGGGGAGAAAATTTCTGAATCTACATTTTTTTTATCATCCTGTAACTTTTGCTTCTTAACGTCGTGTCTATTTTGGGACCAGTAAATGTTTGCGAAATCCCTACCATATGCCTCAAATTTGTCATTCTTTCTCTTTGTTATTTTCTTTAAATAGACAAAGGACATGCTGCTATTTAAATCTGTTGGAAATTCGGGGATGCTTATTGTGATGCTATCTCTAGAATAGCAGGGTTTGGCAACCTCCAGCCTGCGCTGGCTCCCAGAAGTCGGTATTTTCGGTGCCGAGGATGAAACGTCATCTTCCTCCGCGCGGGGCCGCGCCACACCGTGGACTTCACGTCTCCCCCTCGCTCCGGGAAGCGCGGACGCCGTCTGCCGAGGAAAGGCGCCCTCCGACCCCGGGTGTCCGGGCCGTC